TCGCTGACCAAGTCCCGATAGTAGTGGAGCATTGGTTCTTCAAACAGTACATCGTTGTGCAGGCCCTCGACAATATTCATGCAAAAGAAGTAGAAATAGGAAAATACATATGAGCCTTGCATTCCTTTCTCAGGATACTTAGCGGCTTACCTACACCAACCATTTGAGAACTCTGAGCTCGTGACGTTGCTGAGATAACCCTGTGCAGACTTCTCGGCCTTGCAGGATACGATGGCAATGTTTGTGTATTCTCATCCCCGCGTCCGTCCTGATTTGTTCCCCACATCCTAAGTGGTGTTCTTGTTTTCTGTGGACACCCTCCGCGCAGGATCTCCTCCTCACCTCCCTCTCTCTTTCTCTCTCTCCCTCTCTCTCTCTCTCTCTCTCTCTCACTCTCCCCCTCATCATCATCATCATCATCACCACCACCATCATCATCATCGTCATCATCATCATCGCACGCATCACCACTCATCATCATCACTCACCCACCCACCCACCCACCCACCCACTCACTCACTCACTCACTCACTCATCACCGTCACTCGCTTATGTCACCCGAGGAAGTCTCAGGCGAAAGCCCCCTCCCTATGGGTCCCGCACTTCATGTTGGTAATCCGAGCGGGTCATCGGCAACCTGTAATTGTCGTCACTTTTGGGCTCCTCAGGCCTGACTTTGGAGGAAGTATCAAGCGGGAGTCTCGTCTGTGAGTGAATTGTGAGGAAGTCTCAGGCGGGAGCCCCCTCCCTATGGGTCCCGCGCTTCATGTTGGTAATCCGAGCGGGTCATCGGCAACCTGTAACTGTTGTCACTTTTGGGGTTCTCAGGCTTGAATTTGGAGGAAGTATCAAGCGGGAGCCTCGTCTGTGAGTGAATTGTGAGGACGTCTCAGGCGGGAGACCCCTCCCTATGGGTCCCGCACTTCATGTTGGTAATCCGAGCGGGTCATCGGCAACCTGTAATTGTCCATACTTTTGGGCCCCTCAGTTCTGAATCTGGAGGAAGTATCAAGCGGGAGCCTCGTCTGTGAGTGAATTGATTGTAAGGAAGTCTCAGGCGGGAGCCCCCTCCCTATGGGTCCCGCACTTCATGTTGGTAATCCGAGCGGGCCATCGGCAACCTGTATTTACTCCGACGGAAGGACCCGCCCTGACGGACACTCGCCTTCGCCCGCCGTTTTGCCCTCACCTACTCCCCCTCCTTCTATTTATCCTCCTCCTCCTTCTCCACTGCCTCGTCATCATCACCCCCTCCCTACCCATTCCCCGTCCTCGTCCTTCCCCTGCTTCTTTTCCGCGCGCTCCTCCCCTTCCCCCTGGCCGGGGCAAGCAAATCGATGTTCCTCGGCGCCGTCGCCGCCGCGGCCAAAGCGCGCGCATTCCCCGACGGCTGGTTCGCGAAGCCTTTGGGGACAACCCCGCGGGCCGCTGGGGCGCGGGGACAGGCGGTCGGGACAGCCCCGCGGGCCAAGCCGTTGGGACAACCCCGCGGGCTTCGAGCGGGGCGCAGCCGCGCTCAGGCGGGAGGCAGCATGAACCCAAGCTCTGCGGCGAGCTGCTCGGCCTCATCCCTGGACGTCTCCGCTCTCTCGTCGAACTCCAGGAGCGCCTTCCGCAAGGAACGTGGCGCGGGAGAGCATGACGTAGAGGTGCACCCACCACTGGTCGTCGTCGTCGTCAGCTCCTCAGTCGCCATTTCGGGCACGCAGGCCCATGACAACAACAAATTTGCCGACGACCAGCTCAGACGAGGCAGCCCGCACTTCGCTCACAGACGAAGCTCCCGCCTGATACTTCCCCCGCTTTCTGGCCGCAGGAGCTGAGGAGCCCTTCCCCTGTATTCACGCCGCAGGAGTTGAAGAGCCCAAACAGTGAGAAAAGTCATAGGAATCCGATGACCTGCTCGGATTACCTACATGAAGCGCGGGACCCGTCATGGCGGAGAGTCGCCGCGCAGGCCGCTAGAGGCTTAAGCGTTGGCCCAACAGTAACGACAGTTACACGTTTCGGATGACCCGCTCAGATTACCAACGTGAAGTGCGGGACCCAAAGGGAGGGGGCCCCCGCCTGCGACTTCTTCACAATTCACTCACAGGCGAGGTTTCCTCTGGTCACTTCCCCAAAATTCAGGCCTGAGGGACCCAAAAGTGACGACAGTTACACGTTTCGGATGACCCGCTCGGATTACCAACATGCAATGCGGGACCCATAGGAAGGAGCCAAACAGGGCGCCGACGGCACCGACGACGACGGCGAGGCCGAGGCGCGGGCGAGGAGCTTGCTCATGTTCAGGCCCAGCGAGCAGCAGCTCACGTGGCAGAGCACGGGGACGCACACTGTGCGCCCCTCGGGGTTCACCGTGACGCACGCGTCCTACTTGACCTCCACGGTGTCGCAGGGCCAGACGCTGCGCAAGGGCGTCACCATCGACTGCCCGAAGGACGAGGACGCTGGCCGAACAGGCACGTCGGACGAGCAGTGGTGGCTGCACCTCTACGTCATGTTCTCCCGCGCCACGTGCATGCGGAAAATGCTGATCCTGCGGCCGCCTTCGCGCGAGTTTCTGGAGCGCTTTCCGCCGGCGTCTTTGCGGGAGGCGCTCAAGAAGTTCGATGAGAAAGCGAAGACCTCCAGGGAAGAGGCCGAGCAGTTCGCCGCGGATCTTGGTTTCGTGCTGCCTCCCGCCTGAGCGCGGCTGCGCCCCGCTCGAAGCCCGCCGGGTTGTCCCAACGGTCTGGCTCGCGGGGTTGTCTCGACGGCGTGGCCTCGCGCCCGAGCGGCCCGCGAGGTTGCCCCAAAGGCGTGGCCCGCGGGGCTGTCACAAAGGCTTCGCGATCTAGCCGCGCGAACGCGCGCGCGTTGGCCGAGGCGGCGACGGCGCCGAGAAAAATCGATTTGCTTGCCCCGACCATGGGGAAGGGGAGGTGCACATAAAGAAGCGGCAGGAGGAGGATGAGGAGGGGGAAGGGGTAGAGGAGGGGCGATGAGGAGGAGGAGGAGGAGGTGGAGAAGGAGGAGCAGGAGGAGGAGGAAAAGGTTGAGGAGGAGGAGGAGGAGGAGGAGGATAGATAGCAGGAGGGGGGGGAGGAGGATGAGGCGGAGGAAGAGGAGGAGGAGGAGGAGGAGGAGGAGGAGGAGGAGGAGGAGGAGGAGGAGGAGGAGGAGGAGGAGGAGAGCCGAGCTCAGGGCGAGAGGGGGATGTCCGCTAGGGCGACGGGGGAAAAGCGCTAAGGGTTATCTAAACAGCTTTTCGTGTGGGCTTGTACCGTCGGAGTAATCCCACCAGCCCTCTGGGCGTAGGTGGTCTAGAACAGATCCTCTTCCACCCCTCCCTCTTCCCCCTTGGGGAGGGGTTTACCCCTCCCCCTACCCCCTCCCCTGGACCTGGACGGGGGGGGCCGCTGGTAGTTAGAGCGTCCCAGATGGCCCAAGACGGCTCCAAGAGCGCCTCAGAGAACCCAAGATGAGCTCCAAGATGGCTCAAGATAGCGCAAGATCGCTCGAGATGGCTCCTAAGATGGTTCCAAGAAGCCCAAAGACGGCCCCAAGATAACTCCAAGTGGCCAAACAGCTCCCCAAGGAGGCCCCGAAGAGGCCAAAATCGTCCCAAAACCTAAGGAAAATCAATGATTTTTGCTTTCTCGCCTTTTCGCTTCCGATGGCCATCCGAGGCCTGGAGATGGTTCCAAGATGGCCCAAGAGGGCCCCAAGAGAGCCCCAAAAGAGCCCCAAGACGGCCCCAAGAGCGCCCAAGAGCACTCCAAGAGCGTTCCAAGAGGGGTCCAAGAGGCGATTTTAGGGGCTTCCGAGGGGGGACGCTAATTAAACCCCCCCTCTTGTTTGATCGATCTCCTCCAAGATGGCCCCAAGAAGCGCCCAGGAAGCCCCAAGAGGTCCCAAGATGGCCCCAAAATGGCCCCAAGAGGCCCCCAAGAGGCCCCCCGGAGGCCCCCAAGAGACCCCCAAGAGGCCCCAAGAGCCCCCCCAGATGCACCCAAGATGCTCCAAGAGGCCTCGGCGAGAATGCCTAATCATTGATTCTACACAGGTTTTAGCCACATGGAGGCCTCTTGGGGGGGGGCACGGATTAAGATGACTCCAAGAGCGTCTGGGAGAGCCCAAAATGACCTCCAAGATGGCTCAAGATATCCCAAGATGTCTCATAATGGCTTCCTCTGTGTGCTGCCCACTTCTCTGATCGAGGCAATTCCTCTGGGCATCGTTTCTGGATGGGCTGGTGGGGATTCGCGAAGCGACAACAATTTTCTTGCAGTTCCTGGAGGCGGAACTTCCTTGAAAATCGGAAATTTGGTCGCGTACTCTTCAGTGGGAAGCAGAGTTTCATGTATCAATGTATTGACGTCCTCTGAGTGTTGCTGCATGTCCTTATCCTTCCTCGTCGTTTCCAAAATCAGAGACTGCAGCAACGTATCCAACACGTGTGTTTGTACCCAACACGTTTACACTAATATTCACCAGGAGTGTTGGAAGACTGACACATGCCACATGTCCACCTGGATGCACGAGTCGCCATCGTCGCTGACAATCCGCTGCTGTGGTGATTCTTGAGAAAGGCGCGGGCAGACTGAAGTCGTTGAAGTAGTCGAGCCTGACCTTGAATTCGCCTGGCGCGGCGGTGCCACGCAGCCTCTGGCCGCCTGGCCGTACCTGCAGGGCTGGCTTCAGGCGGCTCTGCCGCCGCCGCCGCCGCCTGCCACGGGCGCCACCAGTGGCCGCCGCAGGAGGGGGAGTCTGGGTGTATCCCCCCTCTGCAGCCCCTATGGCGGGCGCCTCGGTGCCGCCGCCCGCGCGTGGGGCCCCACTGGCGGCCCCAACCCGAGTGGGCAACGGTTCCTCCTGCCCTCCTCTTCCTCCCGTTCCTCCTCCCCTTGCCCGCCTGCTTCGGCGGGGTCGTCGTCGTCGTCGTCGTCGTCGTCGTCGTCGTCGTCGTCGTCGTCGTCGTCGTCGTCGTCGTCGCCTTGGGCCCGCAGCCGTTCTGGCCCCACCCCCCTCCTCGCCCGCCCGACGCGCGCCACGCCCGGGCGCCGCGCGCGCGCGATGGGGCGCGCGGGGCTGGCGGCACGCCGCTCGCAGGGCGGCACGCGCTGAGGTCGCCGAGCGCTGCGGAGGGCCCTGGCGCCAGGCGGCGGCGGGAGGCACTCCGAAGGCGATCGTCGCCGTCATCGCCCTCGAAGTTTTCGGGGGGGGGGGTCGCTGGTTCGGGGTGCGTCCCAGCAGCCGCGCCTCGCCGACAGCATTCCAGGGATCGCCCCGAACGGCGTCCGGAGGTCCGAGGTCTGGCCCGGGTCGGGCGTTGCGTAGTGGGGGAGGGGGGGGGGGGGGGGCGATATACATCGGGGGAGGAGAACGGTGCTTTCTTTAATCGCTTCGCTCATTCCGCCAGCCCGTATTGTGCCTTCGCTGGCGTTTCGGCTTTGGGGGGGCCTTTTGGGGTCCTCGTTGGGGGTTTCTTGGGGGCCTCTTGGGTCTCTGTTGGAGCCTCTTTGGGGCCTCTTGGAGCTCCTTTGGGAGCATTTGGGAGCATCTTGAGGCTTCTGGGAGCCGCTTGGGAGCTTCTTGGGGGCTATCTCGAGGGCCTTTTGAGGGCCTCCTGGGGCTTCAAAGGGGCCTCCTGGGGGCTTCTTAGGGCCGAGGGCTCGAAATGTTGTTTCGTGTTCCCCCTCTGGGGTTTCTCTTAGGAGCCCTCTTGGGCCGTCTTGTAGGCCTCGTGGGCCGTCTTGGAACCCTCTTGGGCCGTCTTGGGGCCCTGCCGGAGGCCTCTCGGTCCTCTCAGGGCGATCTTGGGGGCCTCTTGGGCAGTCTTGGGGCGTCGCGATGCCGAAAAGGTGGAGACGCCCAAATCTCCCCAAAACCTAAGGAAAAACAATAAGTTGTGCCTCTTGGGCCCTCGTGGGAGTGCTCTTGAAAGGCTCGTGGGGCGTCTGGGGGCTATCTCGAGGGCCTTTTGGGGGCCTCCTGGGGCTTCAAAGGGGCCTCTTGGCGCCTCCTGGGGGCTTCTTAGGGCCGAGGGCTCGAAATGTTGTTTCGTGTTCCCCCTCTGGGGCTTCTCTCAGAGCGTTCTTGGGGTCCTCTTGGGCCGTCTTGGAGGCCTCTTGGGCCGTCTTGGAACCCTCTTGGGCCGTCTTGGGGCCCTGTCGGAGGCCTCTCGGTCCTCTCAGGGCGATCTTGGGGGCCTCTTGGGCAGTCTTGGGGCGTCGCGATGCCGAAAAGGTGGAGACGCCCAAATCTCCCCAAAACCTAACGAAAAACAATGAATTGTGCTTCTTGGGGCCCTCTTGGGAGTCGGCGGCGTCTTGGGGGCCCCCAGGGCCTCGTGGGGGGCTCTTGGAGGCCTCTCAGGGCGGGAGGGGGGGTAGTCGATGGCGGCTCCCCCCTTGGAGGCCACGATCCTCGTGAGGGGTGTCGAAAAATGGCCCTCCCCTGGAGTGCTCTGGTGGCTCCTCCGGGGACCTTGCAGGGGTACTTTTCGTCCGGGGGCCCCCAGGGGCCGCCCCGCGCGCGCGAACTAGAAATACTGCGAACCGGTTACCGCAGATCTTATCACGCCTCTGGCCCGTTGGGCCGGCGCATTCGTGCCCTGACGGGCCCCCCCCTGGTAGGAAGCCACATAACCCTACCCCTTGTTACCTTCCACGATTTCTAAGGGGGAGGGTGGGCTCACTTCGCTCAGGGTTCGGCAGCCGGGCGGCGGGGAGATGCTGCCGCAGCTCTCCGACGCGTGCGCGGCCGAGCGCCCCGCGGCGTCCGGGCCCGCCAGCGCGCGGGGCTCTGCGCGGCTGGGCGCCGCCGCCGCCGCGACGTGGCCCTCGAGCGCCCGTGGGGCGTGGCGGGAGGCGCCAGGCGCTGCGGCGGAGGCGGGGCACAGCACCGTGAAGCGGCTGACCCTGGGCGTGCGGCTCAGCCCGCGGAGGAAGCGCGGCGCCTGCGCGGCCCTGGCGGGCAGCCGGGCGCCGGCCGCGGGCGCCGATGGCGAGCCCGGCTCGGGAGGAGAGGCCGAGCTGCCCCTGGCGGGCAGCGACGGCGAGCGGACGAAGCTGCACTCCGCGCTGCCGGGGCCGCCGGCCGACGCGGGCCCGCGGCGCCTCGCCGGCAGTTCCTCGCCGGAGGAGCCACTGGCGAGCAGCAGCGGCGCCTCCCTGCTGGAGGCGCTGGGCGCCGCGCCGGAGGTGCTGGACCTCAAGAAGCGGCTGGCGAGCATGGAGCAGCAGTACACGGACGCCAAGTCTCAGCTGGAAGCCAGCCGGCAGAATCACTATTTGGCCCTGCGGGGCGCCGCCGCGCACGAGGAGGCCGGGCAGATGCGGCCCGTGCGGAAGCCGGCGGCGCCCGCGCTGGTGTGCCAGAACGCACGCCCCGAGTCGCAGAGCGCCCGCCCTGAGTCGCAGAGCTCCCGCCCCGCGTCGCAGAGCGTCCGCCGCGCGTCGCAGAGTGTGCCGCAGAGGGGCCGCGCACAGAGGCCAGACACTAGCGGCCTGCCCCCCAGCCTGGACCCGACGAGGACAATCTTCTGCCTGAAGCGCCAGCTCGCCCAGTGCCAGCAGGAGCTGCGCCAGAGTCAGGCCGAGTGCCGAGAGCAGCGCCAGCAGCTGGAGTACCGCAACCTCCACCTCCACAACGTCCTGGAGCTCCAGCAGCGCGACAAGGAGCTGCAGGACCTCCGGCGGGAGATGCAGCAGCTGCGGCGCCAGCACGAGCTCGAGCTGTACGAGCTGCGGCAACAGCTGAAGCAGCAGCTGAGGCAGGGTTGCGCCCAGGGGCCGGCGGCTGGCGACGCCGCGGCCAGGTTCAGGCTGGTGGCGCGCGAGGCAGCAGCACAGGTCGAGTGTTGCTAGAAGTGGTCCTGGCCCCCAAGGTGTCCCCAGCTTTTCGCGCCACTTTGGAGCCCCTGGGGCCTCCTGGGCCTCGCGTGGGGTGCTGTGGAGGCCGTCTGGGCCTCCCGAGGAAACCTGGGGGCGCGTTGGGCCAGGGACACCCCTGGCAGCACAGGTGGAGGAGGCAGCCCAGAAGGAGGTGCGCTTTGCGAGCGACGGCGACGACGCCAATCCTCTGGGAGCCCTCGGAGCGTTCAGCAATCAGCTGACTGTCGAGGAAGAGGAGGACGAGGAGGAGGACGGCGAGAAGGCCGAGGAGGCCGAGGAGGGCGATGGCAGTGCGGAGGGAAAGTCGGCGTGGTCCAAGGTCGCCTCGGGCAAGATGCGCGGGCAGCTGCGGGGCAAGAGGTCCATGGGGGACCTGCAGGCCTCGGAGACGGCCATCCTGGAGCGCGGGCTGAGCTCGCTGAGGGCGCGCTGGGAGCAGGCAAGCCAGGCGCAACAGCTGGAGGAGCCCGCGAGCCACACGACCCAGCGCTTCATCGAGGGGATGGAGGCCTCCCTGCGGGACATGGAGTTCAGACAGCGGGTAACAGAGCTTATGGACATGCGGAGTCCTGACGAGGAAGAGGGGAAAGAAGCGGACGATGTCGGCGCGAGCATGGCTTTGCAGTACGACGAGGCGTTCGAGAACGCTGGAGGCCAGGAGAAGGCGGAGCCCTTCTTCGACCCCGTCAATAAGCTGTGCCGGCGGCTGCTCCAGGAGAGGCCTGACGAGCGGGGAAGGCAGGATTGCGGTTACGAGATCCTCGGCATGAGCGCGTTGTACAACGCCACGGCGAAGGCGCGGCCGAAGCTCATGCGCGAGGTCAGGCGGATCGCGGCAATGGGCGGCGGGTACGCGATGTGCCCGGACTTGAAGGGGCGCGACCGGGCGCGGGCGAAGGCGCTCACAAAGTACGGCAACGACACCGCTTGCCTGACCGACTTGATGCGCGCCTCTATCGTCTACCCCAACATTGAGTCGATGTACGAGTCGTTCATCACCATCCTCAGTGATGATCTGGAGAGGTATCGGCACGACTGGCACCTCGTCGAGTTCAACGACAGGTTCCAGAATGTCCGGGACGGGTATCGCGATATCAGCATGTTGTTCAGGGCCGACGGCATGGTCGGCGAGGTCCAGCTTCACGTCGACCAGATCGTGAATGCAAAGAAAGGCGGAGGCCACCGCCAGTACAAGAAGCAGCGCTTGGTGAACGAGCTGATTTTCGAGGCATGCGTGCTCAATGACGAGGTGCAGGCGATGAAGCTAGCGATCGAATTCCACTCCTGCGCCTCCACGGTCCGCGACAAGAACGGCCGTACCGCTCTCCACTACAGCTGCGGGCACTGCTCCGAGAACGCTGTCCGCGCGCTTCTCGTCAATAAGGCGAACCCCTGGAAGCCCGACAACTGGGGCCTCTTGCCCTTCGAGCTGGCCATGGTGGGCGGTCATTTCGGGACGATGGAGCTGGTGCTTGAGGCCATGAAGCAGAAGCAACCCGATGACCCGAAGCAGACGACCCGCTTGGTGGAAAAAGGCTTCCTGGTTTGGGTCGACCGCAAGATCCACGACGACGGCAAGCGTCAGGCCATGCAGCGGAAGGTCTTCAACCCTGCACTCGCGCTCATCGAAGAGACGGCAAGTCGGCGGGAATCGGCGGAAGGGAGCTGGATGAGGGTCGGGAAGCTGTTGATAGAGGTCATAATCGAGCACAGCGCGCAGAGCTACGTGGACTCGTGGTTCATGAAGAACGCCGAGGCTGGCGACATACCGAAGGTGTTCGCCGCGCTCGAGGCAGACTTCGACCCGAAGGTGAAGTGGGGCTCGCCCTCGGCGATGGACAAAGCCATTGAGGGCGGCCACGTGGAGCTCGTCACCAAGCTGGGAGAGTGGATGAAGGCAAACCCCAGCGTGAAGTGCCTGCAGGTCTCGACGAGGGAAATGTGCATAATTTTGCTTCGAGCGATCCCCACCGAAACCTTCGGCGTTTGTTCCCAGCGGTGCGCGCGCCCACTGGAACGATGTGCGCGGGGCCCGGCGGTCTCGGCCAGCGCGGCTGCCGGGCCAGGTCGCATGTTAATATTTCCCGAAAGTCTAACAACCCCAGGGCCATTGACGAAAGAAATCGAAACAAGTCCTTGGAGCGACAAGCCAGCCCCCAAAACGCGTCTTGCGAGACCCTCAAATTTGTTCGGAGAGAATATGCAGCCTGTTGAAAGAGGAGGAGGAGGAGGAGGAGGAGGAGGAGGAGGAGGAGGAGCAGCAGCAGCAGCAGCAGCACGAGGAGGAGGCGGACGACGAAGGAGGAGGAGGAGGAGGAGGAGGAGGCGGAGGGGGAGAAGGTGAGGCGGACCTCGCCTTCATCCTCCTGCTCTGGACGCCCCGTCCTCCTTTGACGACGGGGCGCACGTCGCGTTTGATGAGGCGCCGTGGAGTGGTGGCTGGCGTATACGCAATGTTGTGCTACAGTATGTTCGTTTCGATTCTGCACCAGTGTAGTATATGACATTATGTGATGTTATGTTGTCTTATGTTGTGGACGGGCAGGCGTGACGTCGTGATGCCTTTTCACGTCTGGCATGTCCTCTCATCGGTCGTTGTTGCTACTGTTTGCTTTTGTGACCAGCCTGGGCTTGGCGCGCACGTCGCGTGTGATAGGCCGCCGGTCCTCAGTCTGTGCTGACTTCCACGATCGCGTTGTGTTCGGTTCTCTTGTGTTTCGTGCACATCTGTTTGATTGTGTTCTGCACTCGACGGGGTGGAATGACGTCGTGACGCCTGTCGCGTTTGATATGTCGTTTAATCGGTCGTTGTTGCGCCTGTGTTCTTCCTGTGGCCAGGCGCGGATGCTGCATGTGACAGTGCGCCCTGAATATGTAGTTGCTGTATTCAACAGTGTTGAATTATGTAATGCCCGATAAGGCTCTATTCTGTTATGATGCAGTAAGATGTAGTATGTTGTCGACGGGACGGCGTGGCGCAGTGATGCCTGTTAAGTTAGATACGTCGTCCGATCGGCCTCTGCTACGCCTGTTTGTACCTGTGGCCAGGCTGACCTCGGCGCGCACGTCGCGTTTGCTTATGTTGTGGTGCGGCCTACTATGGTATGAATTTCCTCTTCAAGTTTGTGTTCCATCCCTTGTTGAAGTATGCGATAGTATGCTCACACCTGCCGTTGGATGATGTAGTATGATATTATACCATCTGCTCTGCGGAACCGTGCGATGACATGATACGCATGTTCTGCCAGGTTAGGTTATGTTATGATATTATGCGTGAGGCTGCTTAGGGTATGCCCAGTTCGTTGTGGCAGATTATGAGTTCGTATGATACACTCTGCTATGATATCTCTTCCATGATGTTCTAGCCAATCAGGTTGTATCTTAATCGTTGGCGTAGGGGTAGCAGAACTACAACAATTCTGCTCTGCTGTGTTGGCTACGGTGTGCTCGTCGTATCATGTTGAGTTGGCAATGTTCCATCATGTTGTGTTTTAGTATGTCTGTTCTGTTCTCGACGGGCCGGCGTGACGCCGTGACGCTTGTCACGATAGATACGTCATCCGATCGTTCGTTGTTGCGATTGCTTACTCGTGTGGCCAGCCTGACCTCGGCGCGCACGTCGCGTTTGATTATAGTGTGGTGCACTGTATCATGTTGTGACGCCCCTATTCACGTATGTCTCTTCTGTTTGAGTGTTGCCTGTGACGCTCACTTATGGCATAATGTGCGTTGATGTGTTGTGTTATGTTCTACTCTGTGGCACTGTGTTATGGCATGATATGGTCTGTGAGGTTATGCTATATGATGCTCTTTGTGTGACGCTGCTTATTCTACGTAGTACTACGTTCAGTACGGTATGATATGTTTCACTATGTCCAGACACTTTTTCTGCAAGTCCAGTAACTGTATCATGCTGAAGTACATCCGTTCCAGTCGTTGCGTTGCTATTTCGAAGCATGTTCGGTGCTAATCTAGTTCATGAGATGCTCCTTCATGACATGGTATATTATGCTCTGTTATCTGATAGTATGGCATGCTATTGCATAACATGTGACACCGTGTGCTGTCATGATATTATGTGTCGTGGTATGGAATGCTATTGTATGTGATGTTGTGGTATGGTATGCTGTATGATGGCATGGCATGTTACGTTATGGTCCGTCCCGCTAAATCAGTTTAAGTTATGGTACACCGTGCTATGTTATAGTATGATCAGTTGCCTTATGGTATGATGGGTCGTGATATGCTATGTTATGTATGATCAGCAATGTCGTGTCATGCGTTACGTTGTTGTGTTGTGAAATGATAGGTGCCGACATGTTATGATATAGTACGGCATGTTGTGGTGTTATGGTATTGTAGGTTGTGCGATGGAATAACCTGTTAAGCCGCTATATGGTATGGTATGCACTGTCATGCTATGATACGTTATGATATGGTGCGGCATGGTATGGCTTGCCATGCTATGGAATGAAATGGTATGCGATGCCAGACTGTGATGTGATGTGATGTGCTGTACTATAGCTATATGTTATATATGCTCCGCTCTGCCATTGCGTGTGGTGTCATGCTCTATCCTGCTATGCGATGGAATGTTATGGTATGCGATGATCCGCTCTGTCGTAGCATGTTTCGTTATGCTACAACAGGTGTGTTACGGTTAGTAAGCCATGTTAGGTGATGTTGCGGTACGGTATGCTCTAATCTATCATGCTAGTTCCTGTTATGATATGTTATATGTCATGTTATGTTATGCTCAGTTCTGTCAGGCTCTGTGTTGTTCGTCGTCGTCGCGAGGCGGCTGTCTCGGGGGATACTCGGTGGACCTGAGGATCTGGCGGCCGCGGTACGTAGAAGAATGGCTGGGTCGTCGCGAGGTGGGCGTCTCGAGAAATGTTCGGCAGACTTCGGGATGTAACGGCCGCGGTATGCAGAATGGCCGCGTCGGCGCGAGACGGTCGTCTCCGGGGATATTCGTTGGACTTGGGGATTTGGCGGCCGCGGTATGCAGGGTGGTCGGGCCAGGAGGTCTCTTCTTAAAACCTAACGACCCCAACCTGTCAGGTTGGGGGAGGGGGGGGCGAAACACAAGCTTTTGGAAGTCCGCGCGGATTTCTGGGATCGGCGCTGGACCCCTCCCTCCCTGGCGCGCGGAGCGCGCCAGGGGCGGCGCCGAAGGCGCCGCCAGGGAGGTCCATGCGCAGATCCAGGAGATCCGCGGGGGCCTTCGAGAGTTTAGGAGGAGGAGGAGGGGGAGAGGACAAGGACGAGGAGGACGAGCACGAGCACGAGGACAAGCACGAAGGTCAGCAGCAGGGAGAGCGTGCACTCGCATCTGAAGCGCGCCGCGCAGCTCTACGACCCCGCCTACGCGACGGCCGCGCTGGCGGCGAAGGCGGACCCGGGCCACACGAAGGCGCGGGCGCCAGGGAAGCGGACGCCGTTGATGGCCTTCGCTGCCGCGGGCGACCTGGGCATGTGCAAGACGCTGGTGGATGCCAACGCTCAGGCAGCCGGATACGATGCCCACGCGTGCAGCGTCCTGGACTACGCGCGCTCGCTGGGGCAGTCGCACGTGGAGGAGTACCTCATGGAGCTGGAGTCGTTCACGGACATGCCCTTCAAGAGCCGGGACGGGCCGCCCGACCTCGCGATGTACATCTACACCGCGGTGCAGGATGGTTGTTGCGGGGCGATCTCCCGCATGTCCAGGGCGCTGACCGAGGCAGAGAAGGGCTCTTTCAAGCAAAGTACCGTCGCCGAGGTGCTCGATTGCAGCTTCGGCCCCTTCCAGATGTCATTGCTGCACCTGGTGGGAGGGTAAAAGAGGAGGAGGAGGAGGAGGAGGAGGAGGAGGAGGAGGAGAAGGAGGGAGAGGAGGAGGAGGAGGAGGAAGAGGAGGAGGAGGTGGACCTGAGTAAACTAAACACCCTCCCGTCCCAAGTCCCGTCTTCACACTCCCATACAAGTCTTCCTTTTCGTTACAAGAAACGCCCCCATGTGAAAGACCAGCACAGTAAGCCTGCCAGTTTGGCGAGGCCCCGCTTCGAAAAGGAACTGTCTTGAAACGAAATGAGCAGACAGTTCAACGAGGTGTCCAGCGAGATCCCCCTTTCGAAGAAGGTCCAAGCGACAAGTCCATTTTGAAAATGGGCGCCATGGACCCGTACAGCGCAATGTGCATTAAAGCTTCGGGCTGTTAAATTGTACGAAGTCACCAGCGATCCCAAACTTAACGAAGTCCCAGGTGTTCTGTTCCATTAGCAGTCTACCATCTTGCTAAACGCTGCATTAGCTCAACGAGTGCGTGCGGGTTCAAGGTAAGACCACACTTTGAAAACAATCAGTGCTCAATCCGTGAGAGTTTGAACACGAACATGCGTGGCGCTAGGTCGGGAGCTCCAGCTTGAAAAGAATCCGCCCCCCATCCGTGAAGCGGCTTCAAGCTTTTAAGACAAACGCGCGCGGAGTTCAGGCGAGAGCACAAGTTTGAAAACCATGACCCTTCCATCGCTGAAAGTGCTGCAAACGTTCAAGAGGAATGCGCGCGACGCTAAGGCGAAAACAACACATTGAAGACGCCCCCGGTCCATCCGTGAAAGTGCTGCGAAGTGTTAAGACGATTGTGCGCGGCGCGAAGGCTGCAGCCACGTTTTGAAAGCAAGCATCACCCCTCCACTGACGAATGTGCGCGCCGCTGACGCGAGAACAACATTGTAACAACGGCCCCCCTCCATCCGTGAAGCTGGTGCAACTTTCTCAGACGAGCACGCGCAGAGGGAAGGGGCGAGCCACACTTCGAAAACAGCTCCCCCCTTCATCCGTGAAGCTGCTGCGATCTATTGAAGACGAAAGCGGGCGGCGCCTGCGCGAGAGCCACGCGTCTGAGAAGGAGCCACCCTCCATCCGTCGAGCTGTGGCACGTTTTGGGGGGCGAGTGTGCGCGGCGCGACGGCGGCACCACACTTTGAAGACGGCCCCATCTCCGTCCGCGCAGCCGTGGCAACTTTCACGGCGACTGCGCGCAGCGCCAGGGCGCGGGCCACAGTTTGAAAAGGACCCCCCTGCATCCAGGAAGTTGCCACAGATGCCAAACTTCAGGACCATCAGTGGTGAGGAGTCTCAGGCGAAATGCCTGGCCCGCCCTACCGACACGTAAGGGGGCGCGGCAGGGAGGAGTTGTATTCATTTGTATGTGTATAAACATGTTTATATGTATACATATCGATACATGGATATTATTACTCTCATGTTTTTATTACCTGGACCCCCCCTCATTCCCCCCCTAAACCGGAACCCCCCCCAGGGACGCTCCGGACGCCTTTTCGGACGTCTCGGCGGCCCCCTGGACGCCCTTGGAAAAGATTCGGTGGCTTTTCGGGGCTTCCCAGGGCGCCTTGCTGGACCTTGCGAGCCGACTCAAGGCGATCAGAGGGGTCGTCGGAGAAGCGCAGGAGAGACCCAAGACAGCACAAGAGCGCTCCAAGAGGAACCTCGATGGTCTGAAGACGGCCAAAGAAGCCCCCAAGACACCCCAAGAGGCCGTAAAGAGAGCCCCGAAGAAGCCAAAATCGTCCCATTCCCTCCGGAAATATATTTGTTTTGCATAGCTGCTTTTTGGGTCTTCGCAGCGTCCAGACGGCCGAATCGGCCCCCGATATCGCCCCAAGACGGCCCAAGGGCTTGAAGACGGCCCAAGAGGGCCCCAAGACTGCCCCCAGCGTCTCGTGGCAACAGAGAGAGCTCCACCGAAGGCCCCAGTGGCACCGTTCGCATGCGTCCGCCCCACCCAATACACAATTGCGTCGTCCCATATGGAGCTCCACCGAAGGCCCAAATGGCGACGTTCGCCTGCGCCGGCCCCATCCGGTACAGCGCTTCGTGGCCCCATAGGGAGCTCTACCGAAGGCCCCAGAGGCGACGTTCGCATGCCCCCGCCCCACCCAGTACAGCGCTTCGTGGCCCCATAGGGAGCTCCACCAAAAGCCCCAGTGGCGACGTTCGCATGCGCCCGCCCCGCCCAGTACAGCGCTTCGTGCCCCCGTAGGAAGCTCCACCGAAGGCCCCAGTGGCGACGTTCGCACGCGCCCGCCCCACCAAGTACAGCGTTTGAAATCTCCAAGACGCTCCGAGACAGCTTGGGGAGGCTTCCCAAGAGGGCCCCAAGAGGGCCCAATTCGTTCCATTCACCGCGGAAATCGTACGTGTTTAACACATTCACCATTTGGGTCGTCACAGCGTCCAAGACGGCTCAACTGCTCCCTTAAGATCGTCCCAAGACGGCCACACAGGCCCCCAATGAGACATCAAAGCTGCCGAAGAGAGGCTGATGACCAGTGTGGGTCACTACTTCAGTGGAGCTGTCTGTAACCGAATCGCACCACCCAGTGAATGCCAGTGGTGGTGAGGAGGAGAAGGGAGGAGGAAGGAAGAGAAGCAGAGTTCTTCAGAATCGGGTATTTCAGAGTCTCTGCGCACGGCTCGCATCGGAGAGAGGGAGAGCGCAGGCCACGGGGCAGACGGGGACGCTGGGGTTCGGTGAGGGCCCCCAGACGCCCTGCATGTACGCTGGCGCACGGGGGGGCGGCCGGGGCCCTGGCCGGGACACCCTGCCGGAGCTCCCCCACGACGTGTTCGACCTTTTCCGGGGCCTCCTCCTCCTCCTCCTCCTCCTCCTCCTCCTCCTCCTCCTCCTCCTCCTCCTCCTCCTCGGGACACCCTGCCAGAGCTCCCCCACGACATGTGTGACCTTTTCCGGGGCCTCCCGGAGGCCACCAAGAAGCGGCCAGGGCCCCAGAGTACGTCGAAGGCTCCAAGATGGGCCCCGAGAGGGCCTCTGGAGGCCAAAGTTGTGTCATCCCCTGGGGGGACGGTGCATGTTTGGCATATTCGCACTTTGGATGTTAACAGGTTCGACAATTGCCCAAGAGGCCCCACAGATCGCCCCAAGACGGTCTCAGAGGCCTCCAAGAGACTCAGGACGGCCCAAGAGAGCCCCAAGACGGTCCAAGAGGCGCCGAACACGGCCAATACGGTCTCCGTAACCAATTTGGTTCAAGCTTTGTCTCGGCCTCAGGCGAAGCCTGCGGAGGTCTTGCGCCCAACGAATATTTCCGTTCAGCCTTGCAGTTGGCTTGGCTCATCTTCCGGAGAAGGTTCGACAGGTCATTACGATGGGGGTAGCACGTTTGATTGCGGATTATGCGTATGATTCATTGGAAAGGGTCGAGCTTCCCAGGAAAATAGTTGTAAGAAACATTCGTCTCGGCGTGGCCCTTCGATCCTCACAAGTATTCGCCTTCGTTTTCGTACTTCTTTTGGTCATAAACAATACGGACTACATCAAGATTGTACAGCCGAGTACCCAGTCGGGTCCGTTGGCTTTCTGGGACGATGCGAGTTCTCTAGCTTATGCCGCACAGGTCCAGGCAGATCTGACCGCTCCTTTCTGCGCGAGCCCAGAGGTTTACGATTATGTTTACTCTGAGACCTGGCGGTACGAGAATTATACTTGCACGACTCCGAGCCAAGCATCCGACAGATTCTGGAAGGAGGGCGACAGGGGGTTGTTCATTCCCACTTCCTTCGATGAGACCCACTATCAGCTGGTTCCCCCACCTTCGGGCGGTAACTGTTCCCACGTCGCCGTGCCATGCGCGAGCGCCAGTGGTTGGGTACATAAGGGGGAAGTGTGTGAGTGTGCGGCAGCTGCAATGTTCTTCGTGACTGGAGTGGACGCCCTAATTCTGGCGTTCGACCACTGGTATAAAGTGGATTCGCCTTCGAACAGCATTCTCAGCAGCGTGCTTTCATTAGACTACCAAAGCTCTCAGAGGTCTGACATTTCGTGCGAGGTTGCGGACGACAGCCTATGTGAGAGTGACAGCACATCGGAAAGCAAGGAGCTTCGGACTGTCGTCGTTGTGAACACTGGATCAGACGAGCAGTTAATCGGGTGGTACGATGCCCCGCAGACGCTTGTTTTGCCCCTGTCGAGTATCCTGGACGCTGCGAGCTTATCATTGGACGGTCTTACAACTCTAACGCGTAACTTGATCAAGTGCGAGACGCCGGGCGGCGCCACGGATTGTCGCGATGATGTGCAGCCGTTCCCAACGGTTCGACAGACTGGCCTCGGCATTGACATCGACCTGCAGTACTCTAACCGGTTTGTCCGCCCTAGTGTTCCATGCGAAGATTGTTTGGCGAAACACGTTGGCCCCATTTGCAAGGCAGTGCTAACAGTGAAACCCAAGTGGTTGAGCCGCCAGGGTGCAGATTGTGCAGTGCCCAGAAATTCGAAGCAGGGTGATGCTACATGCACAACGCGGTATTACTATGGCATCAAAGTCTCATTCCATGCCACGGGTAGTTTCGGCATTTTTGACCCAGTTTACATGATGGTTTCTTTGGGTGCTTCACTTGTATACCTCGCTATCCCGTTGTTCCTGGTCAACGCGCTGGCAATCTACCTGCTTGGGGCGCTGTCCCACGTCTATTACAAAGCGGGTAAGGAGGAGGTCTTCTTGAAGAAACAGCTTGCCGGTTTCGTGTCTCGCATGGTCATCTCTCAGAGTGCATATGCTTCGGTAACTGGTGGAGAAGGTAACCTTCTGACGAAAGACATGGTCTTGGAGAGGATCCATCAGAGCGTGTCCGCGCTGCAGGACAGTGGGTCCGATCACGCTGACGCTGTGAGTTTCCGCGAGCAGATCCGATTGGCAGAAATCGTTATGGACGCAATGGATCCGGAGGGAGCGGGAACGATCACCTTGGACCAGTTCGTAGAAGCATCGACGTGCAACGAGCCAA